CCTAGAATGAGAGGTGTCTTGTCTTCTAAACTAGAAATAATGTGATAAGGAGAAAAGAGCACACACAATAAAAGGAAGAAAATGTGTTTTCTAGCTTCTTCCACTCCTACCCTTATCATCACCACCACCAACACCATGTCATCCTGGGCAAGTCATTTATACTTTCTGGTCCACAGTTCTTCCTTCCATAAAATGGAATAGCTTACCCATTTGGAAAAAAAAAGGACAGGAAGTGGACCAGATAAATGAATCCCATTAGCATAGTAGATAAAAACACAGACTTTGGAGTTATATAGAATGGGTTGGAATCGCAGCTCTATAACTTTGTAGCTATATGCCTTTGGCATGTGATTTAACCTCACTGATTTAACATTCTCTTCTCTGTAAAAAGAGGCCAGATACTAATAATACCTATTTCATGGAGCTGTCATGGGGCTAAAATCCAAGAATATACAGAAAATCCTCAGTTCAGTAAATTAACATGCTCCATTAAGAACCAGGAAGAATGAGCTACAAGTTGTGAAACCTTACTCCTTTTATTCACATCACTTTTTGGTGTCTTAAGAGTATTTATCATGCACTCGATAAAAATGTACTGACTGGTTTATTGGACTTTCCCATAGAGCAGCAGTAGGAAGATTCACAGTGCACTACCAAGGAACCTCAGAAGCCTAGAAAATGGTGTTAGAACAGGGCAAGATATCAGAGTGGTTTTCTTATCTTCACCCGCAGTCTAGCTCAACCCACATGAAATGTCTTTTGGGAACCACGGGCCCCATTGGGATGATACATAGAAATGTCAGGAAGAGGGGTGCCTGGGTGGCTCAGTTGGTTAAGCGTCCGACTCTTGACTTAGGCTCAGGTCATGATCTCAGGGTCGTGAGATCGAGCCCAGCGTCAGGCTCCATGCTGGACGTGGAGTCTGCTTGGGATTTTCTCTCTCCCTCTCCCTCTCCCTTTGCCTCTCTCTCTCCCAAATAAAAAAATAAATAAAGTGTTTTTTAAAATGTCAGAAAGACACTTCAGTTTAACCTAAAGAATGAGAGCCCAGGACTCCTGGGTTCTCCGCTCTGCTCGGGCACTGAAACGTTCTGTGCCTTTATTTTATACATTTTCTCTTTCTCTGATTTTCCCACCCTCTGGTCAGTCTCTGAGGAGGCTACCAACAGAGTTATAATATAATATTTGAAAGATACGTTGAAAAGAATAAGCATTATTAACTACTAGTAACACTTTGTGAACAAATTAATAAATGCTTCCCTTACAGTTGTAGAAACATTACAAACCGCTGCTGTAATTAGATGTCTCTCCGGCTCTGCTTTGATATTCAGGATCATAAGGAAAGTGTGTTGGCATCATTTCAGTACTTTGTGTTTAAGTGCAAGTACTGAGCCATTAACTCACTCCAAGGAGAGGCAGAGAAAGGAATGAGTTTAAGGGTCTCAGAACTGAAAGCGAGTAACCAGGGAAGGTTATACTTCTCTTTCTGGAGGCTGTGAACTGGACACCCATGTTTCTCAATGGGAAATGGCTTTGGATTGCCCCTGCTGAAGGACAAGGGGGTAACTAAGCTAGGCTCCAGTCACGTAGGCAGTGGGTGTCAACTGAGTCGATTCCTGTGCGCACGCGCGCACACACAAACACATACACACACACGGGGAAACATTTGGCAATGTCTGGAAATATTTTCAGTTTTCACAACTATAAGAGGGTGATAGGGAAGTGCCACTGGCAACTAGTGGGTAGAGGCCAGGGATATGACTGAACACGCAACAGTGTCTAGGACAGTCTCCCAGAACAAAGACTTATCCAGCCCAAAATGCAAATACTGTGGAAGTTGAGAAAATGTGAACCGGAGAATCTTTCCATCCTTCCCATCCAAACAACTAGCAAATATTCTCGAAGGCTTTTCTTGTGGGCATGATGAGAGATCTAAGCTGTGGTCTCTGCCCCTCAGGAAGCTTAGAGTTTAATAGGAAGACCAAACAAGCACACTAGAACCTACCAGAAAATAAAGAAGTATATTACACATAGCTAATATGTTTTTCCTACAGAGCCCCTGGGGCTCTAGCAACTTTGAGGAGGGGGAGAACAGGAGCATGGCAATTGTTCAGGGAAATTTAAGAAGAGCTGGGTCTTGAGCTGGTATTTAAAGGAGAAAACTATTCTTTCCCCTCCCCTCATTATTGGGAGAAAGATGAATCTCTGCTACCCACACTTCCTTTCTTCTCTTTCTCTATTTCACCAGCATCTTATAATCTGATCTCAGGATGCCACAGACTCTAGGACGCCACAGAAAGTGTACTCTGGTAGGTGGTCAGTGACATATTCATTACCAGAGCCAATCGCCTGTCCTCAATGTTAATCTTCCTAACCCACACCCTTTTGAAATTCTCTTCCTTCTTGACTTTTTTGACACTGTCATTTGTTCTGGTTCTCTTTTGCCATCTTATGGCTCAGCCTTGGATTTCTTTCCACAGCCCACCTGTGTGGATAGGTGTGCCTCAAAGTGTGGCCTGCTGTCTCGTTCTCACTCAGTTCTCACTCACCTCTTATTCTTCCTTAATTATTTGATTCATTCATTCATTCATATTCACAAGTTCCACAGGGGATTTGAGGTAGGTATAATCTCATGCCGTGTATTTTCCCTTAGTTATCCTACCCACTCCTATGGGCTCACCCATCTTCTGTAACAGGCAACTCCCCAAACTATACCCCTGACTCTGATGTCCTTTCTACACACCCCTCCTACATGCCCAGCCAACTCCTGGACACTGTCTGCAAACACCTCAAATCCACCGTATCCTAAACTTAGTGAGATGAACTTGTCCTGGTCTGCCCAGGACTTACCCGGGTTTAGCACTGAGAGTCCCACATTCTGGGCATTCCCTCGATAGCAGACAAACCCGGCCCATAAGTCACCATACCTAAAACGAACTCATCAGTATCTGTCCCAAACCCAGTCCTCCGCCTGTTCCCTTGTATCATGTAATAGCAGAGGTATCCTCAGCTCCTCTTCACCTTCCACCCCTTCATGCAATCCATTCCCAAATACTGTCAATTCCTCCTCTGAAATATCTCCATTACTGTACTCTCATTTCCACTCCCATTGCTCTAACTCAGGCCCTGTTACCTCTCACTTGGAAAGTTACAACAGACTCGTAATCAGCCCCCCATCTCCAGCCACTCTGTCACACCAACTCCATCCCCCTTTGCAGATTCTTCCTCCACACAGCCAAGATTGATCATTCTGAAACACACATCTGAGCACACACAGGTAATCATCTCAGCAATCTGGAAGTCTTGTGAACTGAATTGTTTAGACAAGCATTCAACCAAAGCTCCCGGGTATTCGAGCGTGATCACTACACAGTGTGATACCAGTAATAATATGAGCTATAAGTAAAAGGGAAAAGCAAAACTAAATGAAACCAACTACCCAAATACCCTTGAGAAGCCAGGAATTCTGAGTCTGTTGAATTCTGAGTCTGTTGCTTACAGTTTTGCATCTCATTTCTTCAGAGAAGTATATGACAACCACAGTTAAGGCAGGTAAGCATTGCCAGGGAAGTCCCGGGTGGTATAGCCCAGTTATGACCCTGATCCTCATCTGACACAGAATCACCTGGAAGTTACAGTATGCAGAAGCTAATATAGTTTGAGAGAGAATCCACTTGCTCCCTTAGGCTATTGGGTCTTAACTTGTCTGTGGTCCTGCTCCAAATTATGTTTGCAAGAGCCATCGGCTTTCCACCCCGGACTGGCAAGAAAAAAGAGAATTGGCTTGAAAGATGTTTATATCAGTGACAGGAAATATGTATCTCATTTGAATAATGGACATAGGACTCCAAATATAGATCATGAGAAGTGAAAATCCGAAAGAGAAGGGCAGGTGCTTTCCCCAGAGGGGAAAGAGAGCTCATCCCTTCCTCCCTCCGCAAAACATATCTATGCTCCGTGTCCTCTCCAATGCTTGCAAGTGGTGAATTGTTTATGAAGGAACTCACCTTGGGAGGGAAGGGTTGACCATCACAGAGACATCAGGAAAAGATGGCTCTCAGAAATAGAAGGGCCATCACCCAACAGTTTACCTGTCAAATATAGGAATTTCTATCATTTGAAGGTAACGTCTTTCATCTGGGTAATTGAGAGATGGTGGCCACACAGCAGAAGGTCCCCTGGTGTGGTTACTGCCTTTTTTCCACCAAGTTCTTGTTCTAGTTCTGTTGCTTAAGAGAACATTGAAACAGGCGCCTGGGTGGCTCAGATGGTTAAGAGAACATTGAAACATTTCACTTATCTCCCAATGACCTTGCTTCTGAAATTCATTCTCCTTTCTCTATCAGAGACCTCTCCAGTAAGAAACACACACACACACCACAAACACACATCCCTTCATTGTTTAATAGTAGCAACACACTCCTTCTTCCTGAACCTGGGAGATAGAGGCCATGGTATCTGCCCTACAGGAGTTAGGAGTCTAATCAGGGAGACCAACCAAGCACAACTGAGAACAGAATGTACCCCAGAGTCATTTTTTTTTCTTTTTGTTCCCTACAGGAACTTGGAGAGTGGGGAGGTTAGCACACACTGGAATCTTGAAGAAAACTGCAAAAAATCAGAGTCCATTCAAGTGTAACACAGGAAAAGGGATTTTGAGGATGTGATTTAAAAACACACACACACACACAGAATCCTGCTCTCTCTTGCTGTCTCTCTCTTTCACACACATACACACACACACACACCCCTCACTTTGGTCACATAATATGGTTCAGGTTTATTCAGGCTTAAAGCATTAAACAGCTTATTCCAGAGCAAATCCTCTGCTGTCAACCACCCTCTAGGCCAAAACCACTGTGTTCACTGCCCTGCACTGCTGTTCCGCACATCTCTACCTCCAGCCCCAGACTTCAGTGTTTTATTCAACAACCCAAGGCCCTAGAAAAGTCAGTTGGGTAGCGACCGCCAGTTGCACAGATAAAGACCCAAACACAAAGATGTACCCTGAGTCCCACCACAAATCACAGGCCAAAAGAGAGTCAGAGTTCAAGATGTATGTTTCCAAAATGTGTTCTTTCTATATTATAGCTAGGGGTTAAGTTTCCTCCACTCCCTTTATTCTGATTTCGTCCTGAAGATTTCAAAGTGGGCTGCTCACAGCAGGTCATGAAACCTCCAGCCAAGCCTTCTTATAAATGTGAAAACTATGTGGGTGCACCTGACTTAGTCTCCTTTTGTGCCCCCAATGTTTCAGGACCTGCCATACCTGCACACGTCTTGTGACCTGAAAAAAAAAAAGGACCCAAGCCCTTAAGAACTAGATACACTGCAGGCATGAACACATCTCACCATAGATCTCTCCATTGTTTTCTTTTATTAACTGAACAACTACAAGTCCACAATTCCAAAATCTACCAAGTCCTGAAGACCAAAAAAAAAATTTTTTTTCATAAATTTCCTATCAAAACTCATATGGTGGCAAAACATGAGATGAACTGATGTGAGGCAATTTATTGTCTTTATTTATCCCATTGAGTCTAAGCATTCATAGGTTTCACTGCTGTGATACTAACATGTTTGACTATAGTAGGATTTCCAGATAAAATACAGAACATCTGGTTACATTTGAATTTCAGACCAACAGTGAATCATGTTTTAGTATAAGTATGTCCCAAATATTATAAGGAAATACACTTATACTAAAACATGATTCACAGTTGATCTGAAATTCAAATGTAACTAGACCTCTTGTATTTTTATTTGCTAAATCTGGCAACCCTAATTATGAGTGCTGCCTTAAATCTCATTGGGAATGTTACCTAATATATGGTACAGATGGCATATTATTGTTCTGAAATCCGACAAATTTAGAATTCCAAAACACATCTGGCCACACGGATTTTGGAGTAAGTACTGTGAATCTGTGAACCTGTAGCATCCTCCTAGCACTGGGCTTGGAACTGCCCAGGACACCCAGCTCTCAAAGACTGATGCCATCAGAATTGGTTGCCCCTTTGGCTCTCATTATATTTTGCCCTTGTTCTAGTCCATGGGCCACTAGCTGACCTGGTCACACCCTGACTGACTTCTTATTTGGCTTTAGTGAGCTTCCAGGCTCTCCTCTTCAATTGCCTGACATGCTGGTTCACTTGCTCCCTCCCAAGTGAGAAGTTTTCCAAGACAGGCTCCTCTTTTCTTCTAGAATACCCTTCTTGGAAGTAGGAAGTGCGTTCCCACCGCTCTCTGCTGCCCTCTCATGGCTAGAATAAGCCACCGCATTGGACTTAATTTTGCAGCACTAGATGCTTTCAGAGTCTATCACCTCCAACAAGGGAGAATTATAACATCTATCAGGAAACCCCATTTAGCAAATTCCCACTGCTGTATATACATGCAAATGGGAAACTATATTTTTTAAATATGTGCTTAAAACCGAGTTTTCAGCATCTAACCTCACCTTCCTTCAGTTAGTTCAAGCTAGTGAGCCTTAGCTCAAATTTGAAATTAGAGGTATGACTGCCAGTTGACTTATTTTATGAGTCTGAACTTCTGTTGCCATTGATATAGGCAGGCTAGTTCAGGTACCAAGGGTACCAGGTAACTGCAGCAACAACCAGATGAGTACAAAATATCTCAGTAATCCCTGGGTAAGCACCGCATCTCCTTCTTTCAAAAAAATTCACCATGGATTAGTGATCTGAGTAAGTAAATATAAAATCGTTTTAGACATAGACTACATGTAAAATGTAGGGGCCACTTTGAATTATGACCTGGGCCTAATCTACTTGCCAAAACCTATTTCTTCGTCTCATATTTCTGCTGCTGTGGTAAAAAGCTGAACCACTTCATAACAGTACGGCTCAGCAAGCTCATTGTAATGGCAGAGAAGGAAGGTGTTTTGTACATTTTCCCCTCTTTGGAAAATTTTGTATTGCCCCTGATTTCCTTTTTGAGCATTTTTCTCCTCATCAGAGCCCAGCTTGATTGGCAACTACAAAACAAACCAACAAAACTTGTTCTATCTCAGATCATTTTTGTGGCTGGCTTTTTAAATACACCCTTACACACAACTGGACTCTCTTTTGAAGAACTGACATCTCAGGCGATGAAAGTTGGGCCTATTCCATTGTGTAGCCACTCACTGAGGGAGCAGAGGAAGGTTCTAGAAAGATCAGTAGACTTTTTCCAACCACCCAGAAAGGCCCTTAGCTCAAAGCCTGCCATAGTTGGGAACTCAAGTTTTCTTCCCCATCCTGGACTTCCCTGGGGGATGTGGGGGGGGGTGCTCATTCTCACCTTTCAGATTTTCCTTTCCTCCAAGTGTACTAAAGGAAGAAATGTTTACAGTGTAAGGCCCCCAGCTTGAAGTCAGCTGCTCTCTTTTAGAAAACACACAAAGATAATTCAGTGCCAATTACTTCAGGGAACAACAGGCCTGAGCTGCTTAACAGAGCTCTGAATGTTAAACATAGGTCAAGGTGACCTTTCTTCTAGTCTCATCTACTGCCCTTTATACATACCCAACAGTCTAAAATCATGTGCTAATCACCAGTGAGGTGACTCAATGTGGGACTGACTTGTTTTATCCTGATCTGATTTTTCTCTTGCTGACAGCCTCCATGGCACAGAACAGAGTGGACTGTGGGAGTTAGGAAAGATTTTTCTCCTCTGACCACATTGCCCATCCTTAGGGGAGCCACTGAAAACTCAACTGCTACTGGCTTTTTTTTTCTCTGCCTCACAGCCTGGATTCCTTCTCAAGAGCCCGCCCTTCACCCCCAGATCCTCTGCTCCTACCAAGGGATTTCCCCTCATTTTCCATGGTCTTGTCAGAGACGGGGTCTTGGTCACTAACCAGGGAAGTGTATCCCAGGCTCACTACTCTTAAATGAGCACTCACCGTAGTGCCTGACACACAGTGAGCACTCAAATGTTCATTGTTGCTGTTATCATTAGCATTTAACCTCTCTGGGTGTCAGCTTTTCTCATCTGTAAAATGGATGTAAATGCAGTACCAACCTCCTGGGTTGGTTCATACATATAAAGGGCTGTTAGAAGTATCCAAAACACAGGAACTTCTATGGATATTTAATCTGTGACTATTATGACTAGTATTAGAGAAATACCTTGTGGGTACACAGAATATGAGGTGAAAGAGAAGTGTGTGTGTGTGTGTGTGTGTGTGTGTGTGTGTGTGTGAGAGAGAGAGAGAGAGAGAGAGAGAGAGGTTTGGGGGAGAAAAAGTTCCATTTGGGTTATGAATTTGAAATGCTCACTAGGCAGTGAACATTCAGGACTAAAGTTTAGCAGGAAAGCAGAGAAGAGAACTTTCTCACTTTAACAAGTACAGTAAATGTCTGCAAAGCCCTTTGGGCTATGAAATGTCATACAACATACGAAATTATCCCTCCCCTTCAGAAGCTTACTGGGGTAAGAAAGCCAAGTCACAGGCTCTACATAAAAGTAAGTGTAACACAGGTCAGGTTCTAAGAGGTACCTCAAGGAAGAAGCAAAGTCGTCTGGGTTTGAGGAGGAGGGATCGCCTCTGGCTGGGGCAATCAGGGAAGGCTTCCAGAAGGAAGTGAGATTCTCTGATTTAATGATTCTCTGTAGCCTTTCCTTCAGTCTCTAGTGCCTGCTGATTCGTCCCTTCTCTGAATGCCCTGAGTTCCTAAGTTGTTGTGCCTCATGACAATGTAGTCAATTTTTCCTAACGCTAAATGGATCCAGTTTGAATGACTGTACTTTATTCTGACATTTCTTTTTATGAAGTGGTGCGAACAGAAGAGTCAAAGGGGCATGGGCTTTTTTTTTTTTTTTTTTTTAATCACGTCCTTACTTGGCAAAATCTCCCGATTTGGAAGGGAGTAGCCTTCACCAGTGTGTGGCCACCACCCAGCTGAGAACCTGACACTCTTACCATCTGTACCGCTTGCGCAGGCCATCTGAACACAAACATGACTGTCCTATTACTTGTTTCATGTGAGTTTGGCTGGTCTGTCAGTGAGATCCTGCAGGCCAGAATCACTGTGGGTCTCTCTTGTTGTGACCCTCTCCCCACGCACCACACAGAACTGGACACGGAGCAGATGTACAGAAATACTTGTTGAAACGGCTAAACTGATTCACATTGATCTTGCATTCCCTTAGCCATGAGCAAGTCAACTTCTGTTCTGCTTTGGGTTCAGCATGTGAACCAAGCACTAAAGCCACGTGATTATTTAGACAGCTGTAGGAGCAAGCATGCGATGGACTGGTGGGGACCTAGGGAGAGAATTCTCCTCACTGAATGAATGAAGTCAGAGCTCTGCCTAGGTGAAATCGAAACAGTTTTGCTCGTGGTCTGGGGGAGGGTGGCGCTCTTTCCAGTAGAACCTGACGTTATTCCTACCAAGAATCTTTCTTTCAAGGGGCAAAGAGCTATTGAGCCCCTCCATTTACAATGCAGCTTTATGTCAAAGGAGAAAAGCCAGGGCTTTTCCAAAGGTCCTATACAGTAAGGACAAATTTCATTTTCAGCTATTGCCTGAGAGCATTGGAGAAATGAAGCGTCATAGATTTTTAAAAATAAAAGGAACTGCACCGAGGGCCCTAGCAGGTTTGTGAAGAAAAGATCTGGGCGGTTGTAAAGGGGGGTCCTATATAGATCTGGCCTGGGACAGCCAAACCAAGACACTAAGATCTTCAGCGTCTCCTCCCCCGCTTCCCCTCCCCTGTGTCCTTCAGCTCTGCATCTTCCCTCCTGCCTTTCCTAGCTGCCACTCAGGAGCCCAGACCTGGGCTTCTGATCATTGCTCTTCAGCTTTGCTGGTGTGCAGGCCCCTTATAGGTAGGTAACTGGCTAATATGATACACTCACTTTTAAACTGTTAGTTAACAGTTTTATATGTTACCACCTCCTAAAAACATAAATATACTTTCTTTTTTTAAAGATTTTATTTGAGAGAGAGAGAGGATGAGCAGGGGGAGGAGCACAGGGAGAGGGAGAAGCAGATTCCCCCTTAGCAGGGAGCCCGATGCAGGGCTCGATCCCAGGACCCCGAGATCATGACC